GGATTTTCTGTTATCAATGTCACCTGCCATATCAGCATCTGTATAGCCCTTCAAGATCAGAAGAGATCCTCCAAAGCATAAACAATCTCCCATGGTACCTCTCAGGTACCTGAGTATCCGCTTGACTGCTTCCCAATGTTCCTTTCCAGGATTTTCAAGGAATCTGCTAACAACACCAACTGCATGAGCAATATCAGGTCTGGTGCATACCATTGTATACATCAAGTTTCCAACTGCTGAAGAATAAGGAACTCTAGCCATGTTCCCTTTCTCCTCCACACTTGTAGGACACATCTTCTTGCTCAACTTTAGATGACTAGCAAGAGGTGTGCTGACTGGCTTAGCATTCTTTATGTAGCGTTCCAGTACACGTTCAATGTACTTCTCTTGAGACAGCCACAACTTTCTGCTTGTTCGTTCTCGAACTATCTTCATACCCAGAATTTGTTGTGCTGGGCCCAAGTCCTTCATATCAAAAGACTTGGACAAATCTCTCTTCAACTTTGCGATCAGTCAATTGTCTTTTCCTACAATTAACATATCATCCACATACAACAATAATATAATAATCTTATTTTTAGAAAATCTTTCGAAGTATACACATGGATCAGAATATGTCTTTGTGTAAGTTTGACTTTTCATGAATGAGTCAAACTTCTTGTACCACTGCCTTGATGCCTACTTCAACCCATAAAGACTCTTACTCAGTTTGCACACCATGTGTTTCCTTTCAGCTACTTCAAATCCTTCTGGTTGCTCCATATAGATCTCCTCTTCCAAATCTCCATGAAAAAATGCAGTTTTCACATCCAACTGCTCCACTTCAAGATCTAGGCTAGCTGTTAAACTCAAGATTGTTTGAATAAATGTCATTTTGACAACAGGTGAGAAAATTTCGTCAAAATCAATACCTTTCTTCTGCTCGAAGCCTTTTACCACCAATCGAGCTTTATATCTGACCAGCTTGCCATTTTCATATTTCTTGAGTTTAAAGACCCACTTACATTTGAGTGGTCTTTTACCCTTTGGAAGTTCAACCAGCTTGTACGTGCCATTTTTCTGCAAAGATTCCATCTCCTCTTGCATGGATTTCATCCACTCATTCTTTTCTTGATTGGACATCACCTCCTTAAGACTTTCTGGCTCTCCCTCATCACTGATGAGGACATACTCCGTGGAAGGGTACCTGCATGACTCTACCCTTGGCCTTTCTGATCTCCTTAGAGGTTGAGGTTCTTCTTCTCCCTGAGTGGGGTGATCCACTTGCTCGAAATCATCATCAAGTTGCTCCCCCTGCTCAATAACCTCATCAGGTTGCTCCCCCTATTCGGCAACCTCGTCGGTCATACTTTATACACTTGTGGGATTGTTAGAAGTAGAAGGAATAGTAACAAGGTTAGGAATAATACTATTCTTGGCATTTTCTGGCATATCATCAGCAATTCCAACTTCACTTTCTCAGAAGACTACATCTATGCTTCTGATGACCTTCTTTACGGGATCCCACAATCTGTATCCGAATTCTTCATCTCCATATCCGATGAATATGCAAGGAACAGATTTATCATCCAGCTTTGTTCTCCATTCCTTTGGTACATGTGCAAAAGCTTTGCAGCCGAACACCTTCACATGCGAGTAGGACACCTACTTGTTGGTCCAAACTCTCTCTGGGATGTCAAACGCCAATGGAACTGATGGACTCCTATTGATCAGGTAACGGGCTGTCTGAACTGCTTCATCCCAGAATGACTTAGGCAGTTTAGCCATTCTGCACATGCTTCTCACCTTCTTCACAATGGTGCGGTTCATCCTTTCGACTACGCCATTGTGTTGTGGGGTTCCAGGAACTGTCTTTTCATGTCTGATCCCATGGTTCGAACAATACTCTTTAAATTCCCTTGAAGTGTACTCACCTCCATTGTCATTTCGGAGATGCTTTAGCTTTTGGCCTGTCTCCCTTTCCACCATAGCATGAAACTTTTGAAAAACTTAAAACACCTGATCTTTGGTTTTCAAAATATAAACCCACAATTTTCGTGAAGCATCATCAATAAAAGTAACAAAATATTTGTTACCGCCCATCGATTCAATTTCCATTGGACCAAAAATATCAGAATATACCATATCAAGTATATTCAATTTTCTTTCAGACGATGTCTAAAATGAGACTCTATGCTGCTTACCAAATAAACAGTAGTCACAGGGTTTTACCGTTGTACCTTTGGCATAAGAAATGAGTGATTTCTTGTCAAGAATATGCAATCCCTTCTCGCTTATATGACCCATTCTTTTGTGTCACAAATCTGCAGAAATCTCATCTTGTGCCGCGTTCAATTTACCTTGGCATATTTCTGCATCATCCTGTACAACGTGCCATGAGCAACTCCCTTTGCAATTACTAATGATCCCTTGGTGAGTCTCCACTTTTGATTTGCAAAATAGTTCTCGTATCCATCTCGGTCTAAAGCAATTCCCGAGATCAAGTTTATCCGTAAATCAGGTACATGTCGCACATCCTTCAGAACCAATGTGCATCCGACATTTGTCTTGATACAAATGTCACCAATCCCCGTAATCTTTGAGTAACTTCTGTTCCCCATTCTCACAAGGTCGAAATCACCCGCTACATATCTGCAAAAAAGATCTCTTATCGGTGTGTCATGGTAAGATGCTGCTGTATCAACCACCCATTCCGACTCTGGGCCTGATAAGTGCATGCATTCCTCTTCCTCGTTTATACAGAGGACAACATTATCATTGTTTTGCCCCATGGCGGCTGTGTTGTCGTCATTCCTCTGGCCACTAGTTTCACCTTTGCCCTTCCTTGGATTTGGTCAATCTCTTTTGAAGTGACCTGGTTGATCACAATTGTAGCAATTTCTAGCTCTTGATTTGGATCGGTTCTTAGACTTCCCACGAGCTCCGGATCTACCATAGTTGCTTGAACTCTTTTGATAACTCCTGCCTCTACCTTCTGTGATGAGAGTATGTCCTTGACTTTCAGGCTTCTTTCTCATTTTCTCATTGAGTAAAAGAACCAATGTGACATCTTTTAACTCAATGGTAGACTTAACGTGCAGGATGGTTGTTGCCATATTATCGTACGAAGATGGCTTTATCTTCTTCCTCGATTTTCACTCCGAGATTGGCGAGCTATGTGATTAATCCGTTAAACACATTTAAATGTGACAAAAAATTCGTACCTTTACCCATGTGTAGGGCGTATAGCTGTTTCTTCAGGTACAATTTATTTATTAGCATTTTGGACATGTATAGGCTTTCCAACCTTTCCCAAATACCACGTGCGGTGTCTTCATCAATGATGTTATTTACTACATCATCTGATAAGTGCAACCTGGTCGCACTAGCAGTCCTTTCATCCAAGTCAGCCCAATCCTCAGCTTTCTTGGTAACATGCGTTTTGGCATCAGCATCTAGTACCTTGTATAATCCTTGTTGGATGAGTAGATCTCTCATCCTTCTTTGCCGTGTTGAGAAACCGCTATCTCCATTAAATTTTGCTACCTCGTACTTTACTCCGGACATTTAGTACTACCGACAGTGAATAGTATTTCTATGAACGAGTAGAACCTGTGCTCTAATACCAGTTGTTGGGAATAAACCCCCTACAAAAATAATATTCACAGTAATAGAAGCGGAATAATCACGTAGCACCGAGATACGGTAATTAGCAAGAAAAAAAAGTGACAACGACACCAAGATTTTTACGTGAAAAATCCTTTGAATAAGGAAAAAAATCACGGCCCCGAGACGAGCAACTGACATCACTATAGCAAGGAATTTTATACTTTGTAGGTCCGAGTAAAATACTCCAAAGACCACTACAACACTCAAAAGAAATAACCCTCTTTTGATATTCTCACCTCACTACAATATCGCTCATTAGTGAAGTTTCACACACAAGGTATAAGAAAATAATCTGTGAGAAAAATAGAGAGTGAGGGATATTGTAGTGAGGTGAGAATATCAAAAGAGGGTTATTTCTTTTGAGTGTTGTAGTGGTCTTTGGAGTATTTTACTTGGACCTACAAAGTATAAAATTCCTTGCTATAGTGATATCAGTTGCTTGTCTCGGGGCCGTGGTTTTTTCCCTTATTCAAAGGGTTTTCCACGTAAAAATCTTGGTGTCATTGTCACTCTTTTTTCTTGCTAATTACCGTATCTCGGTGCTACGTGATTATTCCGCTTCTATTACTGTGAATATTATTTTTGTAGGGTGTTTATTCCCAACAATAATAACGGCCATTGTCTGACACAAAGAAAAAGGAATCAAATACGTTAAGTGCTCCATAATAAAATTATTGCAAAAGTGTTTATTAGCTAACTTAAGGTTCGCGTCGTTCTAATAGACCTTACTCACAAAGTATTCATCGGTATAATATAATTCAAATAGACGAAAGGCTATGAGTTACAAAGTTGTAACATTTATAAAGTGGGTAAATTTTCGATTGACTTCAGTCTCCAAATTATTTGTTAAAAATTACAATTTGATCCCATCTGAAATTATATCCTTGAAGAAACAGTAAAATATAAACACAAAATAGAGTGAATTATCCTTAAAAATGATTTACAACTTGCTAATTTTAGAAGTTTTTAGAAAAGGCATGATCTATTTGCTAAGTTAAAACCTTTTACCGGGCTCTTTATAAAAGAAATCTCATATTATTGCACTAAGAAAATAGACAGAAACAACAAATGTTCTAAGTTAGGTGCTGTTATTTGATTATTTTCCCCTTTTGTTCCTTGTTTGCTCTTTCTTCTCTTCTAGATAGTAGCAAGTAAAGGTAATAATCGGTTATTAGGGTAAGAAGTGGTTCAACGTCTTTATCAAGCTAGAATTGGAATAGTTTAAAACTTCAATCAGTAGGAAATTAACTAACATTTCTATTTGTTTTAACTTTTTGGTTTCATTCATCCATAGGTGGCGTATTAGGCAGTGCCCAAAGGTGCTTATAAAGCCGGTCCACAGCAGTGAAAGTTCTATTGATTCCGTCGATCAGCTTCTTGCTTTTTTTTCCCTCTCTGGGCTAGAAGCTATGAAGAACAGTTTGCTGCTGGTAAATCTAGTTCCCTTCTTCTCTTTCTTTTTTTACTTTTCATTTTCTAAAATTAATCTAAGCATATTTAATATTATTTGAATACAGGTGTTGATTCTTGTATTGTCGCCTGTTGGAGCTCAATACGACTATAGCAATACGTGGGATGAGGGACCTCATTCAAGGAACAGTTTTCAAAAGTATGCACTTGTATGCATAGTTGGAGCACTTCTATCTCTACTGTTTGCTGTTATTCTTTGGTTTGCAATGCGGCGATCCACTAATAATTATACGGCTAATCAACTTCCGCCAGCTCTAGCTGTGGCACAGCAACATAACACTGATCGGGATGACAACAATAGTACAAGAATTAGTGTTAGTAGCTTCCTTCTCGTGCCCATGTCTGAAAATCATCAGGGACCTGATTGCAGCATCTGCTTGGAAGAATTTGAGGCAGGAGAACTAGTCCGAGTTCTCCCCTCGTGCAACCATCGTTACCATGACACCTGCATCAGGCGTTGGATGACAAATGGGAGAAGTCGCTGTCCCGACTGCCGCCAGGACTACAAAGCTACCATAAGTTCATAAAAGTGTCAACACTTGTGTTTATTTTAATTAAGTAATATTCAAGTGCTTACTTTGAATATTATTCTAAAGAGAAATTAAGGAAGAGGGACACAGATAGTGTCAATATTGTTTCCATCATGGTGCATCTCTTTTTCTCCTCTTCTGCTAGTAAAAAATTTTAAACAATGAATGTAATTGATCATGATGAGATATTGTTCACATGCATGTACTATCATGGTGTGTTCCATTTCCAGACATATCATAAATAGTTCATTTTTAATCCCCTCTCTTAATCCTGTTTGGGCTATTTAGATAAAGGTAGCTGATAGTAATATCGGGATATATTAATTTTATAATAATTTTTTTTTAGGGTAGAACCATTTTCCAAATAACATGTAGGTGCAGAATAATGTATCTAGAAATGAGAGGCAGTCGAAGAATAAAGAAGAATTTTCCTAAAAGGAAAATGACAATAGAAAGGGAGATAGTAGCAAGATAACCTTTTTGGGGAATTTGCAGCAAATTAAGGGCATAAATTCGAGTGTAGATGATATCATCGGCAAGATTTAAGACTTCATGTTAGACAGTGCAATTTATCCATACAGATCAGATGGTTCTTCTCTGTTTGTTGTGGAAGCTTTGGTGATTGTTTCCCCATAATCACCAGCATATACTAAAACAATATATTTTAATGTTAAAGTAGAGACCACAAGTTCAGATAAAATTTCCTATTTGTGAATTCATAATTCCAAATAAGCAATTGAAGAATATAATATTACGCAGTGCACAAAAGAAAATATCGGAATGTAAAAAAACATCTTCATGCAGTTCATACTTTTCACATTTTCCCTGACACAGAGGCTCCAAATTTATGGTATCCAGCACCTACAAGATTACTCAAGCTGGGCCCCTCAGATCCTCCATTTTACTCTGCCTTAAAAAATGGATACAGTATTTGTATGTCGGACCGCTGAAGAGGAACAGTTGAGAGAGTATTTAATTTGATAGATCTCCCAAGACCAAGACATTTTTAGTAAGCGGTGTTATAATTAACTGATTGCCTATGATCCAAAGGAGTTCCGAGAAATGAAGAGAATGAGAAGCCGAGCACAGTAGCAGCAAGCCAGCACAAATAAAAATTGCAAATCCAAAGTGGGGTTTTTCTTGAATTAAGTGTTTAAAAGGTGTCAAATAGAATTATTATTGTTTTTCTATTGTAAATCATCCTCTGTCTCATGGGGAGGTCAGCGGTTCGAATCCCCAAAAATATCAGCCCCTCTTTTTTAGAGAAGCAGGCTCAAAAAACGAAAAGTCACGTAGGCAGGGGATCGTGCCCGCGAGCTTTGCTATCAAAATCAAAGGCTTGACTATTTGAACTAACAACTGAATGATGTCAAGCGGTGTCACTTCAATCAATATATAGGCATTTACTGTTCGCATGTCATCTACAACAAAAGTATTTAACTAAAATTTATGATGAAGCGGTGTCACATGACACCACTTCGAACTACGTGCGTCCGCCCCTGCCCAAGACATTTCCATAAGCAGCTTCAGGAAAAAAGGAAAATGTCTTAGTGGGATACTACAAACGATCGATATGATCAGCTTATAATCAATACTCAATTTCATAAGGTACGCATGGCTGCGTCTTTAGATGGCATGGCAGGAGCTGAGCCTTTCTTCTTAGAACTCTTAGTTACTACAAATTCCACCTCACTAACTCATTAAGTAACTCTCAGTTTCTGGACAGTATAATCTTCATCAATCTTCTCCTAAGAAAACTTTAAGTACCATTTCCTTGTCTACACTACTCCCCTTGCCTGATGTACCCTCTTGAGCCTTGTATGCGTGCATCCACTGTATCCATAAACGATCCTTCTTCTTACACAGATTCCAGAGGTGCTTAAGAATTACTGCTCTATTCCATACGAGGATATTAGTAAAGTTCATTCCCCCTGCAGACTTAGGCCAGCATATATAGTTATTTCTAGGCCACCAGTGCCTTCCTGTTGCTTTCATCTTCTCGTGGACATAGGAAAATATTATAGTTTCAATCTTCAGTATAATCGTTTTTGGAAGTGGAAATATCTGCGACCAAAAGGACTGAATGACAATCATAACACTTTTGATCAATTGCAATCTTTCTGCATAAGATAGGAATTTTGCTATCCAATGGTTTACCTTTGCAAGCATCTTGTTGAGCAGGGGTTGACATTGAGCCACTGATAATTTCTTTGCACTTAGTGGCACTCCCAAGTACCTGAAAGGTAAAGATCCCACGGAGAGGCCTAGGCTGTGCAGAATTTGTTGTTGTATGTCCATTGGCACCTCTCCAGAATTTCTTGCCATTTTTACTTTGTTAGCTTTTAAGTATAGCTTTTATCTTCAATATTTTCCTTGCAGCTCTTTCGCCGTCATGGCATGTCACTTTATTTAAGCTCATTTCAGTAAGTAACATATGAAGTAAAAAGTACTACAAGTTCTTTGGTATCAGAGTCTCTATGCAAGAAAGTCTTAGTAAGTCTAATTAAGCTTAGAGTAATCCAGCAATTATTCATATTCGTTAACATGTGACATTCAAATTCAGTCTTATATTTTAACATGTGAGTTTAACTATAGTTACTACTTGGCTGGGAATTATCAGATTCAGTATTCTTCAATTTTATTTTGGTATTATTCATTGTTATTGAGATTAGAAGGTGCTTTTGGATGACTGGTTATTCTGTGCAGCTGAATCTGGCACATTAATTGCAAGATGCAATACTTATATGACGATAATGGACGTAAATGTCTAGATTCATCTGAAAGAATTGTAACTATATCTTCTGGTGTAACGACCTGACCGGTCGTTTCGAGGATTAACGTCCCGTTCGATGGCTTCAGGTCTCTAGCAACTTTGTATTATGTATTATGACGTGCGTGCGTGGCTGAGTTCGGATGATTCATGATTAATTTGGAAGAAGGATTCTTGTTTTAGAAGCTTAAGTGGTAAGAGTTGATCGAAGTTTTGACTTTTATGTAGACGACTCTGAAATGGCGTTTTGATGATTCCAATAGCTTTTTATGGTGATTTTGGACTTAGGCATGCATCTGCACTTGGATTTGGAGGTCCGTAGGGTAATTTGATGCATTTTGGCGAAAATTAGAAAGTTAAAGTTTTGGTAGGTTAAGAGGTTTGACTGGGAGTTGACTTTGTTGATACCGGGATCGAATTGCGATTCTAAGAGTTGTATTAGCTCCGTTATGTCATTTGGAGCTTGCATGCAAAATTTGACTTCATTTCGGGTTAATTTGGTATGTTTCGACACGAGTTTTGGAAGTTGGAAGATTTGAAAGTTCATAAGTTTGATTCGAGGTGCAATTCATAGTTTCGATGTTGTTTTATGTGATTTGAGTCCTTGAGTAGGTCCGCGTTGTGTTATGGAACTTGTTGGTATATTCGGACGGGGTCCCGAGTGGCTCGGATGAGTTTCGGATGAGGTTCAGATTATTTTGGAAATTTTTGGTTAAGGCTGTTGGGCACTGTTTTAGCGTATCCACTTTTGTGGAGATTTGATCGCAGATGCAGAGCCGCTTCTGTCGCTTATGAGATGTTGAGGCCCGGGAGGAAGCTTCACTTCTGCGGAGTTCTAGTCGCAGATGTGATGGCCGCTTTTGCGGCCTATTGATCGCAAATGCGAAGATGTCCACTTCTGCGGCTGTTTGTGCGCTTCCGCGGAGTCGCAGATGCGACTCATTCTTGCGCAGGTGCGGCCAATGGGCTGGTTAGTTGGGTTCACAGATGAGAAACTTTTCTCGCAAATGCGAGGCCGCAGATGCGGCGTTTCTGTTCGCAAATGCGAAAAAACCTGGGCAGAATCATATATATTCGAGAGTTTGGCATTTTTGTCCATTTTTTAGTTTGAAGCCTCGATTTTGAGCGATTCTGGAAGGATTCTTCACGAGTTTGATTTTGTTAAGTGTTCTCTATCCAAAAATAATTACATTTCATGATTTCATACTTATTTATATCATTAAATTAGTGAATTGAAAGGAAGAAAATGTGAAATTCTGTAAAAATCTTTTAAAAACATAAAATTATGATTTGAAGGACGAATTGATATTGGAATTTGATAATTCTTATATGGTTGGACTCGTATCGGAATGAGTGTTCGGATTTTGTTAATTTTGTCGGGTTCCGAGGTGCGGTCCCGGGGGTTAAATTTTGGGTTGACTTTTTTTTATTTTTAAGTAAAGATCGAAGTTTTATTAACAAGAATTGTTTCATATGAGTTTTATTTATGATTTGAAGTTATTTTCGCTAGATTTGAGCCGTCCAAAGGTTGTTTCACTCGAGAAGATCATTTTAGAGTGTTAGTTTAGCTTCTTTGAGGTAAGTATCTTACCTAACTTTGTGTGGGGGAACTACCCCTTAAGATTTGAGTCACTTGTGCTAATTGTGTCATGTGAAGGCCGTGTATGCAATGTGACGAGTACGTACTCGGGCTTATTTGCCAAAATTTGACCGTGTAGGGCTCTTAGGTTCTTATGTCCATTAAATATGAAGTTGTTTTGTCATGTTAAATTCCCCATTTACTAAATTCACCCATACGTGTCTTATTTGGAATTAGTTGCTTTATGTTTTACCCTTATTGCCGATTAAACTCTTATGTGCCTTAGCTGAAGTTGTTGCCTCTTTTATTACCATGCTATCCTTTCCATAATTATTTATCCTTGATTGAAGTTATTATTATCTTTTCCATAATATGCTTATCCTTAGTTAAATTTGTTGTGCCTCTTCCGTAATTGCTCAACCCTAAATGAAGTTTTGTTATCCCTTATCATTTATGACTTATCCTTATTTGGATTCATTGATTCATATTATCCCTCTTATCGTTGAATTGTACTTTTGTGGAATCATTGCTACATAGTATCTCTTCCTTGTTGCGTTATTCTTGTTGAAACCATTATTCCCTATTGTGTCTTTCATTGTGAGCTCGTTCTTCCATTTCATTGTGTTTTGAAGTTCCTGAGATGATTTACTTGCTGTATTCTCGTATTATTGTCGTTATATTCAGTGTTGTTGAACCGAGAGATATGCGTGGTTTTGATATATTGAAACTGTTTTGAGGAAATATTGTGGCATGTGGGCACATATTGTGAAAGTCATTTATCTGAGTTGTTATGTTTTGGCATACGTGTTATTGTTGAGATAATTGTTATGTTGTTTGTACGAGGTTTCTACCGTGCCGTTGTTATTGTGTTTGC